TCTCCACTACTCTAGCGTCCGGGTACACTTCTGTAACGTTCCTCCACCCGCTTGTCTTTGGAGTCTTTCCAACGCAGTGGCTTGGTATTGTTCGGCATTTGACCATTATGTTCCATTTGTTTCCAGAATCTCTTAAGCAACAATGCTCAATCAGGACAGGTGATGGACTAGAGACTCTGTAGCAGCCGCTGACTTGATGTACACTTGATTCGTGGTCTTCATCGCTCGCTGATTCTAACTGACCTGAAAGTGGTAAAAAATCAATCAATTGATTTTTAATCATCGACGGATCTGATTCTTCTGCAAATTTGAATGAATTTCTTCTAACAAAATTCTAACAAAATTCATTCGTGTATTCCCTATCCTGATAAGAGGGCAAATGTCGTTCTTTCTTTCTTGAATCAACCGATGGCCGTCAGAAAGCAAGTTGCATAGATTTCAAGAAGCATTGGCAAAGGTCACTTCAATACCGTTACGTTTCTCCACTACTCTAGCGTCGTTTAGCATATTATTTCTCGTTTAATAGTTGTTTCAGTTGATGCGATCGATGGGAAAAACCAATGTAAACCGTCCTGGATGAACGCAACATATTAATAGATGATTAAAAAGCCGCGTTACCCTCTCAAGTAGTATATTTGCTGAGTCTTGCAAAAATAAAGACATTGCATCGTACAGAGACTGACGTAACTTTTGTAGAATATTTCATCATGTTTCATTGCCTGCGCGAATCGATTTTAAATTATGACTTTCACGAATTTGATTTTTTTTTTACGAATTGTTAAGAGAACTGGTGGAAGATAGCAAGAAAGAGGTTTTGCGAATCACTGACAGGTGTTTTAGACAAATGTTCTCTCCCAGACAGACAAAGTTGATAAATGTTCTTGAACTCACTCACGGGAAGTAAAACATTCGAAAATTTTATCTGAGGGTCGTCAAGTGGCCTGACCGAATGTAGAAAAAGAAGGCAAAAATCACCGATAAAATATGATTCATGTTCATAGTGTAACAGATCGAGTCGGTTAATTCAATATATTAATTCAATTTTACCGCCAAGTCGTGCAACGGCCGCTTTAAATTTTTTACCTGTCAAACAACGACGGAAGAATAAAAATTCAAAAAAAAGAAAAGAAAAAAAAAACGAATTTCTCTTCAGCTACATCTAACAGAACGACAACATTTATAAATCTAAATTTTGTGTGAGTTAAATTTTCAATTTATATTTTTTCGCTTCTTTGTTTTGATCGTTGCTTCAATTAGGACCAAATTCGACATCGCCTTCATATACAAGTATAATCATTATCATTGATTTTTACTTACTCTGTGACTCGTTCGATACTTACCAGTATCCATGGAAAATGACTTGGTTTTAACTCCGCCGAGTGACAGTAGCTTGCCCCGGCACATGATGAGCGCCTAACTGAACATACTGTGCGGAACGCAGAACTCAACCTTTTTTATATCACCGATGAATGACCCAAATAGACCAAACGAAACAATTACATCACACTCTCGAGCTTTCACGAGGAACACAAACAAATGCCTTGACGGAAACGCTGATAATAGTTTAAATAATTATGACCACTTCAAAGCGATCACGAGCGAAAAGGGATTTTTCCCTTTGCTATAAAAGGTCTTTGGCTTTGTTTCATTTTGACATTTACCTTGGAAAACAAAGGAAGTACAATGGCTTGTTCAGGCATGTTGTTTCGGTTGTTAATCACGAAGCCAGATAAAACTGCTGACAATTCTCGATTCATTTTAGAAACACTCAGTTGCTTTGAAATTCTTCACAGCTGTATCTGAGGTCTTTCAAATGAATTACATCCTTTACTTGCTTTAAGGGAATTTTTCCGCTGAACGGAAACAATACCCGCTTACAAAGCAAATTTGGTTGTCAACGAACTTTTGTGCAAACATTGATCGGGGGAATCCCCTAACCACTTTCGAGTGCTCTATCACGCGGGCTTTTTCCCGCATAAATATGTCACGAGATCTGTCAAACTCCTTCCTGTCTTTGAAGTTTTGAATATTCCAGAGGCTTCATATGATAGAAACATTAATAAACACAATAGAAAGGCCGATAAATTATCAGTAAAACTTTCGTTTTCCCGTCAAAGAACAAAAGGCGGCCTTGAAAATCCGTAAATAGCAGAACTTCTTACGTCATAAGCAATAATAACAATAATAATAATAAAAAAAACTCCGAACGGTCTTGTGACTGCGAAAGAAAAATCAGTTTATATCAGACTTTGAAAAGATCAATTCGCTTTAGTCTGCTCTCGTGGATGAGGAAGAGAATTATAAAACTTAGCGAGGCATTTTTTTTTTCTTCAGTTCAAAGCTAACTGTCTGTTGTAGCAGTAGTATTGAAAGGGAAGAGAAGAGCGAAGCTCGAGCAGACCTACTGAGACTGAAGCCAACTGTCAAAGGGCCTTTTCGAACGAGCAAAGTTAGATTGGAAGGAGACGGTAAGTACTTTATACGGGTCTTATAAGGATCTTAAAGCCATCTTTTCGATATTTCTTTTCAATTTCGTTCTTCCTTGTTGTTGTTTACAAGCTTAGTGCGTTGTCAATATTTATAGAAAGCTTAAGTTTTATTCGGGTGAAAGACGCGACACGAGGTACCTGTCAGCTGCCTAGCATTTCTAAGCTGCCGCAAACAGATTTGACTAGAAAAACTCAGTCGCGTGGCGTCATATTAATAAAAGACATCTCGTGCACGCAAATTTAATGTCAATCACGCGATGATGCCAAGGGCACTTACTAGAAACTGCATACATTGCTAAACAATAGTTTTCGCCTTAGATTTTCTGATACACTGTAATAATGNCTTCAGTTCAAAGCTAACTGTCTGTTGTTGCAAGTAGTGTTGAAAAGGAAGAGAAGAGCGAAGCTCGAGCAGACCTACTGAGACTGAAGCCAACTGTCAAAGGGCCTTTTCGAACGAGCACAGTTAGATTGGAAGGAGACGGTAAGTACTTTATAAGGGTCTTATAAGGATCTTAAAGCCATCTTTTCGACATTTCTTTTCAATTTCGTTCTTCCTTGTAGTTGTTTACAAGCTTAGTGCGTTGACAATATTTATAGAAAGCTTAGGTTTTATTTGGGTGAAAGACACGACACGAGGTACATGGCAACTGACTAGCATTTCTAAGCTCCCGCAGACAGATCTGACAAGAAAAGCTCAGTCGCGTGGCGTCATATTAATAAAAGACATCCCGTGCACGCAAATTTAATATCAATCACGCGATGATGCCAAGGGCAACTTACTAGAAACTGCGTACATTGCTAAACAATAGTTTTCGCCTTCGATTTTCTGATAAACTGTAATAATGTGCTCTGTCTAAAACTGCTCCCCAAAGGGCAACAGTTTGCCAAAGAAGAAAGAGACTGAACCCAAAATAACAAAACTAATTTAGCTCCGTTAAAGCTGAAGACTTCAGTAAGACAATTTATTATGGTTACGCAACAGAAAGTCGACAGGTGCTGTGTAATCAAAATGCAAATCTGAAGGGAAAAACCCTCGCGCGATGAACTGACAGGGAAAATTGCACCTGATGAAATTAAGATACCATCGAAGTGAAAATCTATGTATTGGCATCCTAAAGTCTCAAATCATCAATATATTTGTAGCACAGGCGATGTTTTCTCATTGACGCTGACAAG